TGGCGTCCTAGGGGCCGGGCAGGGTTTGCCCTCCGTGCTCCGAAACTGGCATGAATGAAGAGGCACCTTAAAATGAGACCCGACGGTACGTGCCCTCCCTGTCGCCTTGTTTGTGTTGTTGTGCTGTTGTTCGTGCCCTTGGCACCTAGGGTGCTGGGGGGCGGGCGACAGGGGGCGAGCGCGAGGGGGCACGTGGCCCCGAGTAGCGCTACTCGTTATAGGTGCACTTGGAGCACTTGGAGTGCAGTCATTAACCGCACATCCAGGGCCGGGGAGCTAAGAAGCGCACCCAGCGGGCCGGATGATTGGCATCGGGTTGCGGGCAAGAGAGCCCTAGCCCTGGGGGTGCGCGTTCGCAGGGAAAGGGCCGTAAAGTAAACACGGGTCTCCGAGGGTTAGCCCCGCGTACCGGGTCTCCCCTTAACTGCAGGACGCCCCCTCTACTCGGAGCTAATGAACACCACACTGCACGCCCCACACCACCGCTCTACACTCACTTGCGCAGACACGGGCGATTGTAATTCTTTTTCGCGCGGCCGAAGCGGCAGCTCGGCTTGTCTGAATGGTCTTGGCCTCGCCGACCCACCATCCTCCTCTGCCCATCCATCTGCGCTGCGGCGTCCCTCTGCCGCGCCCTCGGCACGCGCATCCACAGCAGCTGTTCAACACATACGACACAGCTCCCTCTCGTCGCTCGCTGCTGCTCACTGCCGCCGCCGCCGCCGCCGCCGGCCCGTCCCTCGTCGCGCCTGCCACCGCCGCCGACTCATCGCTCGTCTACCGGCCGCTGAGCAGCGTTGACGTCGGGCGCGGCGCGCTCGCGCGGACCGAACAGCAGTACTCGACGACGTTTGCTGCGTATCTCTCTCGATTCCTGCTCAACAACGAGCCGACGACGCGGCGGTGGTGGCAGACGCAGGTCTCGGAGGCGGAGTCCTTTACGATGGACGACGAGGCGAGCGACGGCATCGTCGGTCTGCTCGGCGAACAGCGGCGCGATGCCTTCCTCGCGTCCAAGTTCTCCTCGCTCGTCACTTCGGTCGAGGTCGGTCTCGAGGGGTACTACGGCGAGAAGGGCGCGGGCAGGCTGGGAGAGGCGCTGGCCAACAAGTACTCCTCGGCGGGCCAGAAGCGCCTCCTCGCCCACCTTCTCTGCCTCATCGAGCGCGAGCAGCAGCCCACGCGCCTCATCGGCTCTCTCATCGGAGAGGCGCGGCAGCAGTAGCAACAGCAGCGAGAGGCGCCGCAGCAGTAGCACAAGTTGGGAGCAGCTCCTCCTCGAAGCAGCAGCAGCAGCAGCAGCAAGCAAGCACGCAAGCAAGCAAGCAAGCAACTTCGAAGCTCATCGAAGAGGCACCTCAGTCGCCTCCACCGCCTCCGCCGCCGCCGCCGCCGCCGCCGCCGCCGCCTTCACCTCCGCTCGCCGCCCTCGCCGCCCTCGCCGCCCTCGCCACCCTCGCCGCCCTCCCCGGCCCCAGGCGGATGCCAGCCGCCTCGCCTCCGTCCAGCTCGAGACTGCGGCGACAGGCTACTCGGCGACCCCTCCCTCCGTCACGGTCGGCCCTCCCCCGTCGCTCGACCGCGGCGGCCGAGCGCGAGAGGAGCTCACGCGCGCGGGGAGCAGCGCCCCTCTCACACGCCTCCTTGCTGCGAACAGGCGGCCGGACGGCCAAGGCTCGCGCGCTGATGCGGCCGACCGGCCGGTGGCGGGAGGTGCGTCTGCTCGACGGCGGCGCTGGCTACGCCGACGGGGAGGTGCCTGAGGTGGCCATCGATGGCCCTCCGCTCCCCGCAGCGGCAGAGGAGGGCGGCGGCGGGCTGGCCGACGGCGACGGCGGCCGCACCGCGCCGGCGCGTGCGGTGGCGGTGATGAGGAACGGGTCCGTGGCGCGTGTGCAGCTGGTCGCGTGTGGCGAGGGCTACTTGGCAAGGCAGGGGAACGGCTCTGCACCCTCCGCCGCGCGAGTGCGCATCGCGCCGCCAGCGTCGGCGCTCGCGGGCGGCGCGCGGCAGGCGAGGGGAGGACACAGCACAGACACCTCCCACACACCTCACACACACCTCACACACACCTCCCACACACCTCACACACACCTCACACACACCTCACACACACCTCACACACACCTCACACACACCTCACACACACCTCACACACACCTCACAGACACCTCACAGACACCTCGCAGACACCTCACAGACACCTCACAGACACCTCGCAGACACCTCACAGACACCTCGCAGACACCTCGCAGACACCTCAGGAGACACCTCAGGTAGACACACCTCCCAGACACCTCCCACACACCTCCGAGATACCTCCTAGACACCTCACAGACACCTCATAGACACTCGCCCTTCGGAGTGGACAGCGGAGGAAAGAGATCACCCGAGCTCACCCGACATTACCCGAGATCACCCGAGATCACCAGGCGAGGGCGGATCTGCTGGCCGAGTACAAGATCGCGGCGGTCGAGCTGACCGACCCAGGCGCCGGCAGCAACCAACGGCCGGGAGACCCCCCCGAGATCACCCGAGATCACCCGAGATCACCCGAGATCACCCGAGATCACCCGAGGTGCAGGCGCCGGCTACAACGCGGACGAGCCGCCCGCTGTGACTGTCGCCCCCCCACCCGCCGTCTCCGCCGCCGTTGCCAGCCCGGGCGGCCTCGGCGGCTCCGCCCTCGCGGCGAGTGTGGCGAACTACACACGGCTCGTCGCCGACCCGGCGCCGGGGGCTCACTTCCGCCGAGATGCAGCCGAGATGCAGCCGAGGTTAGCCGAGATCAGCCGAGATTAGGCGTCGAGGGCCCGCTTCCGCGCGTCGCTCACCCCCCGCGCCGCGCCTCCCCCAAACGCCTCTGAGCTGTCCGAGCTCAGCCGCTCGCTCGAGGCTGCCGCACGCACGCCATCCAACGTCGAGACTAGCCGAGCCGGGGAGAGCCGAGGAGAGAGGGGCCGAGAGGAGCCGAGAGGAGCCGAGAGGAGCCGAGAGGAGCCGAGAGGAGCCGAGAGGGGCCGAGAGGAGCCGAGAGGGGCCGAGAGGGGCCGAGAGGAGCCGAGAGGGGCCGAGAGGGGCCGAGAGGAGCCGAGAGGAGCCGAGAGGAGCCGAGAGGAGCCGAGAGGAGCCGAGAGGAGCCGAGAGGAGCCGAGAGGGGCCGAGAGGGGCCGAGAGGAGCCGAGAGGAGCCGAG